ATATATATATATATATATATATATATATATATATATATATATATATATATATATATATATATATATATATGTATATATTATATATATACATATAATATATTGTATTTTTAGTTATTGCTACAACAGTTGTGAACCATGTTCTGAATTAGTCCTGGTCATGATCTATTTGCATAGTATACCATATATGGTGTGATTATATAGATATGGTGTGATCCAGCAGATTATATATACCGTAATCTGCTGATTTTACTGATCTATTTTCAGATAAATCTATCAGTCGAGCTTCAAATAATTCAAGGGATTTAACTACATTCATTGCTTAGTGCTGAATTTATTTTTACGTCACTGCAACACAAAGCTGATGCATAATAGAGTGATGAGGTAAAAGTAAGGCAAGTAATGAGGTGAACTTACCCAGAGCTGGTCATCGTGGCCTGGTGGACTTTTCTTGATGAAGGCTCCATAATACGTGGCTATATTTCTGTGATGGGAATACTTCTTTAGCATGTTGATTTCCAGCTTGATTTCTTCCTCTTCATCCTAAAAAACAAAAACCAGTTGAAGTCATGAACGCATAAAATGATTTCCTGTATTTCTTATACTGTAAATAAAGAGACACAAGAATTAAAATGCAGATTTAAATGTTATTTCGATTTGATTTCAACTGGGATGGATGGAGCTAGCTGCAGCTTGTTCTTCCCTTCTGTCTGGCAGCAACCCCCCTTTAAACACATTACTGCAACCTAAAGTGCTAGACAACAAAAGGTAGTTTATTACTCCTGTTAAATGTCATGTGACCATAAATGAAGTCCCTTTGTTAAATGAAGATTATATTTTCAAAAATTGATTATATTGCAAAAGCAATACATTTTCCAGCCCCAAAAAAAAAAAAAAAATTCTTGCTCTTGAGGTGAAAACATGAAAATAGGGGTGAAAATATAAAAGATTTGTATAAAAATAGATGTTTCAAGATCATATAACAGATTAAAAAAATGGCTGATATTACTAATGTTTTTCTAACTTTTGCATCATCGAAATTCCCATTTATGGATCTAGAGAAAAAACCTCAAACCCAACGCTTCTTTTACTTAAACTCAGGCGAATAAGCGCCTTTACAAAAAAAAAACGAATATGTAAATGATTTTACGATACAAGCTAGATATATTTCTTGAATGTCCTGTAGAACAGCTTTCAATAGTCTCATATAAGCATTCTGAATCTCATTCACTGTAATCTAACATGGACCCAGTAACAGAATAATCTGTGACTGCAGCCTTAAACCTTCCATTTTGGGCTCCTGTTAGGTAATGTGGAGTCATGCAGTGCTCATAAAAGCATGACTACATCTTTAATTATGTTGCAACAAAGACAAAAATAGTTATTCTTATATTAAAGCAAACAGTGCTTTACACATGACTACATTAACTGGACCTATTCTTCTCCAAATCAGGCTTATTCTACTTTGGTGAATTAGACAGAAAATTGTTGCCCTCTTTTGTTCAAATGCTCAAAAAGACAAAAAAAAAGAAAGAGATCCTTTTTTTTTTTTTCAGTGTGTTTATGGAAAATTGGTCCAAGCAAGGAACCAAACTGTGTGCCGTCATTCAAAACAAACCCAGCTGGAACTCAGAACAGACCCAAACAAGCGGGTCACAGGCTTGGATTATTATATACAACATAATGAGATCAAGTGATTATTCCTCCATCATTCCCACGTCACTGAACCTTAGTGCTTCCCTTCAGCCAAGCTTGGTCAACTGAACTTACAATCATGACATGACGTTTTCCTATCTTTTTCCCATCTTTGGCAGCTGTTGTATTATCTGGAGCACCAAAAATACCAGCTGCACTGCTGAGTAAACTGCTTCATCAGCCAGCGCCAACTAAGAAAATAGTAAAGAAAATTTTGGGATTTTCACATCATTCCTCCTGCAGTTTTTCAGGACTGATGTGAGTTTCTTACTGACACCTCTTCAGTGGAAAATATATTTTTGTACAAGTGAACCACACAGTGAAACCAAATATAGACAAACGGTACCGTCTTATTACCAAAGGTTGGTCCTTTGATGCGAGACTCATATTGTCATGATCTCAGCGCTGATGTCGGGTCTGATTACTCATTTCCAACATCTGCTTAGCTCTGCCAGTTATTGTTAGCGCTTATCTGATCTGTCTGCTTCATTCTCTATTTAACAAGCCTTCAGACCAGTCATCAGTGCCAGAATATTTCAGTGTTCCTGTGTTCTGACTACCTGATCCTGACCTGTTCTGCCTCTTGATCCCTGAGCCAGCCTTTCCCCATCTAATCTGTTTGTCTGACCTGTCTTCTGATTCCTGCCTGATCTCTGCCTGCTTGTGAACCGACCGGAACAGTCTCCCAATCCCTGAGCCTACCTGCCCTTGTCTAGCCTGTCAGCCGCACTATGTTCTGTCGGCACCTCACCAGATCTCTGACCTCCTGGCTCTGACAACCGACCACGTCACCGACTTTGGCTTCCCTCTCTGGATCATCCTGCCTACATTAGTCTGCTTGGTTCTGATCTCCTACCTGTCCTCCGACCACCAACACATCAGCGTCTGGAACTCTCTATACAGCGACCGCAATGCCACGTTGGCAACCAGCCCTCTACCTCTGAATTCAGACTGAACTATAAGACCAGGTTAGTGACTCACACGTTCGTGATCATCCCCTTCCCGAAAGACATGGTCACTAATCTGCTGTCTCTCCCAGCAGAGGTTCCTGCCTTAGACACCGATGCCGCTACCCCGATTGTGTTTTCAATAAACTTTCTGAGAAAGTTGTTTTTCCTCCTTGAATACTGGATCTTTCAGTTCTGAGCCTGACAGATATGTAGGTGATCAAAATGTAAGAATACAATTTGTTGCCAATTTTAAAGCTGCTTTACTCCATAGTTGAATTATTCAGTGACTTTATAAGAGATTCAGAAGGATGGAAATGATTTCTAAAATCACAAACATCATCAAGATGTCATACCAGGAGAATGCTTTAAAGGCCAACCTGTGTTTGAATGACTCTATTGTTGCCTATGCAAAGATGCAGGAAGAAAACCACGGCAACTAAAGAAAACACTCTCTGATTTGCAGCTTAAACAGATTGAACACAAGCTCTGTGTTGAATTAGGTAACATCAACACATGCTTTGAGGTGTTTTCATGTTAACAAAAAGACCTTGTATTGACCAGTTTGACTGCAAACTATTGCATGAGGTTGATAACAAAAACTTACTGTAGTCAAAAAATAAAAAAATGGCATCTGGCTGCCCCAACAGTCGGTTATGTGCGAGTCTTTCCCCCCTGAGGGTTCTTAAACTAACCCTGTCTGTTCCCAAACCTTTTATCTCTAGTCCCCTCCATCTGCTTTACAAGACTTTTTTTTTTTGACAGTAAAAAAAAACAAAAAACTGTAAATTACAATTATATATTTTTTAAAGATTACCTTTAAAAATTGGTTACTTATTTAATTTATTTCTACCATGTGCCCCCTGCAAATACATTAGTATCCCCCTAGGGGGCAGGCCACCTACTTTATGAAGCACTGGACTACCCAATGCATGGAACATGTTTCAACTGGTAAAAATAATGTTGCTTACTTACTACCAGTTCCTATCATTACAGGTTGCCACCTCCTTCCTCTCTCCTTGTAGTAGGTACATAAACACATAAATATATATCATACAGTCAAATTGATTCAACATATTTCAAGTCAAAACAAGGCCTGCAGGTTAAATGGTTTCCTGCCAAACTCCAACTTTTAAACATAACAATTTGATGAGTTTTAAACAGAAACTGTTTTTACTAAAGGCCTTCCAGTATATCTTATTCCATGTTAACTTAGGAAACTGGTTGTTTGGAGAAATTTACTTCTAAAACATAGCTGTTTTATAAACAGTTCTCTAAAGTATATCTAGCTGCTTATATGTTAAGCTGAGCTGAAAGTGCTGTAAAATGAATTTGCTTTTCTGTGAAAAAAAAAAAAAAAAGAATTCAACCACAAATATCCACAATTTTCTTCTTTTATATGGCAGCTTTTTATCAGCAGTATTTTTTCTTTTTGCTTCCAGAGTCTCAGAAGAGCCAGCTTTGAATCTCATAGAGATGACGGGGTCAGCCAGTCGACCAGTCCCTGGAGTCACTGTCAATCAGCTGCTCAGGCAGACTCTGCCTCAGAAACCAACAAGGCAGTCAGATATTTCAGCAAGCAGGTCGCCAAGCAATCAGTCAGGGGGGCCAGCAGGATAGACCTCCGGCCAGCTAGTTCATCTGTTAATCCGCTCACCAGCAGCAGACCACCAGGAGTTCTCCTGCAGGCCACCATCAGTCAACTGACTCATCCGATATGGTACATTAATTGGATCTGAATAACAACTATACCAAGACTCTATAAAACAGAAAAGAAGACACAACCCTGAATATATAAAAATGCAGCTTACAGTGGTGGTCCGCAGAGCATCCCAACGCCCTCAAAACGTCAGTCATGTCAGAGTTTTTGGGAACTATTCAGAATAATTACAGATACAGTGGCCGCAGCGATGAAGAAAAACAACAGAAAGCATTCCAACGCATTATAAGCTTTGAGCTACAAATACAGCCCCAAAGAACAGCTGAAACATGGAGAACAATGAACAGCAAACTGCTATTAAACAGTGTTTACTCTCAGTCCTTCCCATCTATATGTGATCGTAACAACGGCATGTTAGTTAGAAACATAGTGATTAAACATGTTCGTAAGATCGCAGCTATCACTTGATCTATTGACTTTCATTTTAATAAACCAATTAATCTAAAAAAAAGGATTCTTTAGGTTTATTAACATTTCTAAATAGACAAAAATTGGGAATTTGGAAAATTATTCTTACTTTTGCACCTTAGCATTATTGCAAATGGCAAAACCAGGCAAAATCAGGTTGTCAGGAATCCAGTTTGTGTGGTCTGTTGTTTGTGTTTGTCTCTCCCTCCACCACCAGGTGGTGCCCTGTCCTCGTTGGTCCTCCCTGCACACCTGCGTCTCGTTGGATCATTATTGGGAGGAGTACTTAAGCAGTGGACTGTCACTACCTCAACGCAAGAGTGTTTGCCAGTTTGGGGAAGCCATCCTGCAGCTGGATGTTTTGGCCTTCTTCCCCTGGAAGGATTGTTTTGAGTCTCACACTGAGCAGGGGATAAACCTCCACAAGTTCCCTTCAAGTCCTCCTGGATTTCCAAGGGACAGTCCGCTCCATAGCTCCTCAGGATCCAACCAAGTCAAAACCTGTCCGCTCTCCAAGTTCCTACCTCTGGATAAACCCACACCGACTGGATTCAGTTTTCTCCACTAACTTCCAGTTCACCAGTACACTGAGTTTGCTGAATCTAATCCCAGTTGATCTTTTCAATAAGACTGTTCAACCTTTATCCTGGTTCTCTGAGTGGTTTACTGCACACACACAATTTAGTATATATATATATGCTTTGATTTTCTGTAGTTTTTTTCTCCTATAGTGGTATAACAATGGTATTCTTTCAGCAAGTAACATTTTTATA